TTGCCTTGGGTCCATGTCTTCAGAACCCTACACTGCAATTGACAAAACAATGGTGGGGATGAGCTACCAATCACATTTCTTGGGCTGTGCAGGTTCTGTCCACACACAAAAGTTCTTTTGGAACAATGGCCGTTATTCCACAACAACAATGCAAGAGTCTACACAGCAATTCCGTTATTTTGAAATAATTCTGAAGTAACAGACGGCTTATTCTGACTTCTGCAAACCTCATTCTACGAAGAATAACACCTGTTCCAAATTAGCTATTTTAAAATAAGGTCTGCGTAGCTGCGCCACTGCTGCTAGTTTGAACTAGCCTCTTCCTGGGGACATTCTAACTTATTCTTCTGAGACAACTCGTCTACACGAGTGACAGATGGCAGAACAAGGAGCAATGGTCTCAAGTTGTGGTGGGAGAGGTCCAGGTTGGATATTAGGAAAAACTATTTCACTAGGAGGGTAGTGAAGCACTGGAATGGGTTACCTAGGGAAGTAGTGGAGTGTCCATCCCTAGAGGTGTTTAAGTCTTGGCTTGACAAAGCCCTGGCTGCATTGATTTAGTTGGGATTGGTCCTGCCTAGAGCAGGGGGCTGGACTTGATGACCTTCTGAGATCTCTTCCAGCTCTATGGTTCTATGAGTCTATGACTAGTCGATGGAAATTCTATCGTCTAGTCGATAGGCACTTCCGCATTCCTCCTTTGAAATGGGGCTCTTGTACTTTTCAAAGGAGGAATGCAGAACTTCGCGTACAGCCCTAGGCCAGCGGGAAATCTCGCTGACTCCGGGCTGCAGGTGGCATGCCTGCTTTGAAATGCACAAGAGTCCCCAGAAGGGGCTCTTGTGCATTTCAAAGCCATGCAGCCCAGAGTCAGTGGGGGACTCAGTCCCATGCTGACCCAGGCTCCATGCTACGCTGCATGCCACTAGGAGCCCGGGGTCAGCTGAAGAATCCCCAGCTGACCTCAGGTTCCGCAGGGCACTTCCCTGGAATCTGGGGTCAGCCGGGTTGTGAGGATATGTCCCTGACCAGGGCTGACCCTGGCCTCGAGTGCTGCCCCTTTAAAATGCCACCTCTGTGTGATTCAAAGGGACAGCCCGCCACACAGCTGATCCACGTATCAGCTGTGCAGCAGCCACCTTAGGGTTTCAAAGCTGTGCGGCGCTGCCACTTTGAAGGACTCCCCCACCCTTTGCTGCCTCTCTCTCATAGAGGCAGCAAGGGGGTGGGGGGAATATCAACTAGTCAAAAGGCTATCCGATAAGCAAATGCTTATCGGATAGTCCACTAGTCCTTAACATCCCTACCCCCAGTGCAGAGAGACACATGGAGCAACCAGCCACTTTGAGAGGCCTGTGGCTGCAGCAGGCAGGGAGCCTGTCTGAGTCTGCAGTGAGGCTTCCAAAGGCTTTGTGGTCCAGTTCTTGCCCACCTCTGATCTAAAGTCTCACTGCAGTGCTGAAGAGCGCACTGCTGTTTCAGCATATGAAAAGATGAGGTTCTGATCTCCTGTGATCATTAAAGGACATATGGTAATAGTTGCAAGATTAAGATTAGCATTGGCGTCCTGGCAAAAATCCAGATTTAATTATTATCTTCAGCCTCTTTAAAATCTCCCTGAAGTTTCAACTGAATTCAGTAATCATCACTTCTCCTTCTAATGTCCAAAGTTTTGCTGTGCACTTTAAAAACAAATGCCAAATTTCTTTTAAAAAAAAAAGTTGGAAAATGTGTTTTAGTATCTTTTGGAACGAAAAATGTTTTTCAGACATTAAGATAGTATCATCACTAGCCTCAGGCAAGGCATGACACTGGAAACAATGAAATATACCCTCCCATGGCCATTGTATGTTTCTCATTATGCCATGTGGATGGTTCCTCATACATTTCTCGATTTCCCAAGCCATTAGCTTCTGCTCTCAGCAGGTGATAAGAAAGAGGCAACATTTCACCAACGATCTGCTCATTAATGATATGAGCAAAACATTCTTATGATATAAACAAATTAAATTAAATCCTTTTCTATGTTTGGCTGACTCCATAAACGTGAAATTAAGCTATATGTGGCAACTGATACCCAGGAAATTCTGAAGAATTGAATTTATTCACCCACTGATACTAAATTCACTACTCAATGAATAATAAAAATCTCTATATATAGTTCAGAGATTTGCGTGTGTCTACAAGTCCGTTTGTTCAAGAACTCCTCCTAAATGGTAACAGCTAGGACCAAATTTGGTAGGCAGGTTCCTCTCATCATAACTTAAACCAAGGTCAGGGTCTGATTGTTCCAGGAAATTGAGATGTGCCTAGAATTCAATTGTTTTCCATTATATGGAAAGGGGGGGGAGGGGGCTGAGTGGAGGAATGCAATACTGCACTGTGACCACTGGGGGCAGCAAGCACTGAGGACAGCTACACCAGGAAACCAGTGGCCAGCTGGGTATTGGGTTTGTCATCTTGCCAGCCATCAGCCCAGGTAAGCAGCCACCCCCCCCTTCCACAAACCCGTACTCCAAGCCCTTGTCGCCAATGCTAGACTGGCAGGAGCCCCGCTGGCACTGCTGCCGAGGCCACTGTCCAGAGCACTATCAGAGCTGTGCAGCGCAGCCCTGGCCCTTCCGTTGGTAATGAGGAAAGAGGAAACTAAAGATGACAGGTAAACCCCTTCCATTAAAAAACTGACCATGAGATCTTTTAATGTCAATACAAAATAGACTTCAGTGTAAGTATTTAAGTCATCATTTGAAAGACTCACTCATAGCACACTTAGATAGCTTGGAAGTATCTTGGGAGATCTGAACCTTTAACTCTAGAGACAACTGCCCAAACTGTCAAGAGATTAGATGGTTAATTTCTTTTAGCTTTTGAAGCACAGACACATTATTCACTACAAGTTTAGAGTTTCACCTACTCGGACGTCCACCGAGCAGCCCACAGTCCAAGACGGGTTTCCCAACACCTGGTTTTGGCACAACAGATGAACAAGTGAAGACTTTCCAACACCTGCAAAACAAACATTAACTGAAGCTGCATAGTTGGCAATGCATGATCCTTACATTTGACAGCAATACCAAAATAACATTGTGTTTAAATCTCAAGAGGGATGATAGCATAATCTTCGATCTATTTAATAAGGTGGAATAATCTTGGTAAATCAGATAAAAAGGCTCAGCAGTCAAATTCTAAATATAGTACAACTTAATATAAAACAATGTACTCAAGTAGAAATAGTATTCGTACTAAGTATAACTTAAATGGCTATGAACTGATTATCAGAGCAAAGGATAGTGTTCTAGCTGTATTGTTAGACAAAACATTTAAAACTATGATCCAGTGTGCAACAGCAGTAAAGAAAATACTAGTGAGAGGAATACCATGGGTTTCTCTACATTAGAGTGGAAGGTGAAATGTCCAATTCAGGTAGATGTTTGAGCTCGTGCACTAAAACAGCAGTATAACTGCAGGTGCACAGGCTGTGGGATCTGCTAGTTGCCTCAAATACAAGCCTGTCTGAAGCCCATCCTGCTGCCTCTACAAAAAGCCTCAGTGGCACTTCTATTTTACACGAGCTCCACCAGAATACTCACATGCTACCCAAACTAGAAATTACTCCTCCAGCTCCACTGTAGACATAGCCTACACATGAAGTAGTTTGTAAAATTAAGGCTAACTAGCATATGGGCTTTTGTCAAAAGAAATACATAAGTCTGAAGCTATTGTTTATATAAAAACATGTAAGCCACATTTGTATCACAGTATCTAGTGCACCTTATCTGAAGAAAAATATAACTGAATTGGAGAAAGTGCAGAATTAGACACCAAAAATGATAATGGATTAGCAGGTGTTAAAAAGGCAGGGATAGTGCTAACGCTGGAAGTGAAGAGTGGACAATGAGAAAGCGACATAATTGAAGTACTTAAGAATTTAAACTGGGACTTGTTCTAAAATTAAGCTTACATCTAAGAATTTACACCATGCTCATAATTCAGAATATTTCATATGTTAATATAGGCCATAGTTTAACAATCTACTTGAAGTTTCCAGACAGACCAGAGCAAGTGGACATGAATATAAGAGAAAACAGAATTTTACAAGGCCGAGACTAACAGGTGGAATGGATTTTCAGTCAAAGTGCAGAGCCAAACAATGAACACAGGTTTAAGCAAAAATTGGATGACTATGAAAAGTATAAAATTCAAAGCATCGTCCATTCGGTTTGTACTCCACAGTGGCTGCTGTACTTCCCCATCCTCCAGTTGGTCCCGTTATTTTTGCTGGCTTATGAGAGTTTCTTTTGCCTGGAAATATCTGTCCTTCTCTGACTCAACATTTTTGAGTTTTTTTGTAAGCGCCATCAAACCGGCCCAGACACCCCAATGGGCTGTGCCGTACCCCACAGGGCTGCGGGGTGTTTTGACACTCGAGTTGTGTTTCTCACAGCAGGTCCCATTTGCTACCCGGCCCCGGGGACTTAGCAGACTCAGGCTGAAGAGGAGCGGCAGGCGAGAGCGAGGGGGCTGGAGGCGGGCCAGGAAACACGAGGGCGGGCACCCACTAGGGAAGGGAAGGCCACTGGGGTCTGCACCGTCCTGCCCAACGGTCACGCCCCGCCCCCTTTCCATTCCACACGCGCCTAGGCCCCCGTTTCTGCCGGAGCGGAGCCCTAGCGCTGGCCCGGGCTTTGCCCAAGGGCGGAACGTTCAGAGGAGCCACGCGCCAGAGCTGGGCCACAGCCTACGGGGGGAGGGCACCCACTAGGGAAGGGAAGGCCACTGGGGTCTGCACCGTCCTGCCCAACGGTCACGCCCCGCCCCCTTTCCATTCCACACGCGCCTAGGCCCCCGTTTCTGCCGGAGCGGAGCCCTAGCGCTGGCCCGGGCTTTGCCCAAGGGCGGAACGTTCAGAGGAGCCACGCGCCAGAGCTGGGCCACAGCCTACGGGGGGAGGGGGCGAAGGGAGCCGCGTCAGAGCCGGGGCACGTGGCAGGGCCCGCGTTCCAAGGCAGCAGCTCTGACTTGCACCACTGCGCAAGCTCGAGCCGGATGTCGTTAGCGACGTCGGGGGGCGGAGGGGGAGAAGGGGCGGGGAGTTGCTGGGACACTCGCTCCCGTTGCAAGGCACCAGGCGGGACTGCCCCTGTGCGGAGGTGGGGTGGAGCGGGAAACCCCTCACTCACCTGAGTCCCCCAGCACCAGCACCTTGACCCTGTCTAACGCAGCCATCTTACCCTGCCTAGCAACAGTCTCCCGGCACCGCCCCCTCGGACCACTCACTCATCCCATTGGCTGTCCCCTCACTTCCGCAAGCCTCTATGTTGCGGTCTTCGCTTTTGATTGGCAAATGTGGATCGAGGCGGGGCCTAGTGAGCTCTTCAGAGAACAATTGGTGCGCCTTCCTGTCAATGCTCATCGCAGCCGGAGATTGGGGAGCGTCGCCGCCTCCTATCCCCAACTGGGTTGGACCCAACCGGCTCGCGCCGTGGCGAGGGTGGGGGTGCCTCGTGTGTGCGTCACAAAGGTGCGCTGCTGCCGGGCTGGTGTGCGACGAGCGCTGCGTATGACGCGCCGTGACGCAGTTGCCGAAAGCGCCGCCCGGAGACGGAGCCAGTCCGGAGCGGCCGGCAGGCAGGTCAGTCCCGTGCTCTG